GGGGAGGAGGGAGAGAGAAAGAGAGGGGAGGGGAGGAGGGAGAGAGAAAGAGAGGGGGAGGGGAGGAGGGAGAGAGAAAGGAAGGAGGAGGAAGAGAGAATTGGATGTGGATTAAATTAGAAACCTTGCACCACCTTTTAACTTTTCAACAGGTCCAGAGCTATTTTGATTTTTAAATTTATTAGTTTATGTCTTTCGAAGACTCTGTCCATCTTTGTTGTCAGGTCTGTTGACATAAAATTATTCACAAGCTTCCTCTGTCCCCTCAGTTCCTGGGAGTCTACAGTCGTGTCCCTGCTCTAGTGTCCCTTTCACCTGTCCACTTGGAAAACATAAATCCCTTCCTTATTTCTAAGACTGAAAATTTAAAAAGCCCCTTTGTATTATATGATCCACAAATCTCTATCACTTTATTTTAATAAACAACACACTGAAGACAGAAAGTAGATACGTATGACAGCAGCACCTGCTGAGGGTGTGCCTTACCAACAGCTTTTCCTGTTTGGACCACATTCCGGCTGGTTGTGACCATGACATTGCCAATTTTTTTGCCACGTTCGCTGTTCTGAACAGAACTGAGAAAAGTAATACAATTTTTAAAAATCTCAAACATTTGAGAACACCCACAACCAAACCACTCTATTATCATCCCAAATCAGTATTGGAAAAATAAAAAGCAAAATTATTGTTAGTAAATTTCAGAATGTTCTAAAAGAGCACAGAAAAGAGCTAAGAGGTGAGGACATGAAGATGTATGGTTAAATCTAGACAGACATGGTTTGCTGAAAGCATGTTATCAAACTAAGAATGGTAAGTTTGTTATTTTTTCATACTATTGTGTATGGACAGAGTGTTTTCATTCTGAAATACATGCTGCTGAACAACAGAATGGGTTAGTTACTATTTTAAACAGTCCATCAGCCAGATAAACAAAATCCCCAACTGGCAATGAAGCACATGGCATATACTCAAAATAACTTCCTCTTACTTTCTGTAAGTACTCACTGTGAGAATCTGAGTTTCATGTCTGACACGGAGTACTGGCCTTGAAAAGGATGGCTGTAAAACAAAGGTTAAGTTTAGATTGTGAGTACATCATCAGAGAAGCTGCAAAGAAAGAGCAGTCACAAGAACTGCAGTTAACATTTTGGAGACACAAGTGGACACAGTGCTCTGAGACTGACAGTGGGCCCATGCACCATTTCTAATACGAGCTCTACAAGAAGGCACTCAACAGTTCTGAGCTCTACCTCTTTTCTTGTGCAATGGATAAACGTAGTTAGAGGTGGACACGTGTTCTAGGGAATGGAGGTGCAAACACTACCCCAACATAGTGCTAACAACACCCCTCACTTCATCTGGGGTGGGGCTCAAGTATCAACCCAACTTAAGAACACACCAGGAATCAGGTGAGTAACTGACTTATGTTGGGGAATATTATTTTAAGGTGTGTTACTTTTGCTAATGTTGCATTTGTTTAACTCTGTGTTACTGTGCCTGTCTAAAACACCTGATGGTCTAACAAAGAACTGAATGGCCAATAGCGAGGCAGGAGAAAGAATAGGCGGGGCTGGCAGGCAGAGAGTATATACAGAAGGGGAGATCTAGGAATGAGAAAGAAGAGATCTAGGAGCCAGAGAAGGAGGAGGACTCCAGGGGCCAGCCACTCAGCTACACAGCAAGCCACAGAGTAAGAGTAAGATTTACAGAAGTAAGAGAACAGGAAAAGCACAGAAGCAAAAGGTAGATGGGGTAATTTAAGTTATGGAAAGCTGGCTAAAAACTAAGCCACGCTAAGACTGGGCATTCATAATTAAGAATAACCCTCCGTGTGTGACTTTCTTTATAAAGCAACCATTTTTCATCCCACCAGTCTAGAGGATGTGCTTACTTTGGGTTTATCTCTGAAAGTGCTGGGTGCTTATTGCTGTTCCATACCCTGTAGTTGTGAGTATTCTTCCAGGCAGCAACAAAAGCCGTTCCATAGTCTGATAACATCTTTTCATTATCTGCCAAGAAAACGGTTGAAAGAAGTTGAGCTGGACCACAGCCATCTGGGCATGAAGATTAATAACCATAACGGCTGAAAGCACAGTTTCAAGTTTCACAGTTCAATGTTCACATTGTGGGGACACAGCCTACAGGTGTCAGCAAACTTGAGTCTAGTTCCAGAAATCCTGTTAAGAAGCTATGTAGCCTTTGGTAAGTCACTTAAATCACTCAGAACTTCATTTTCTTAACAGGAAAATACGAGGACTGTGTGGTGGTATTGTGTTCCCCAAAATACTGTACATGCTAATAAACTTATCTGGGGTCAGAGAACAGGACAGCCATAATATTAAATATAGAGGACAGGCAGTGGTAGCACACGCCTTTAATCCTTGCATTCCAGAGGCAGAAAGCCCTCTGGATCTCTGTGAGTTCAAGGCCACATTGGAAACAGCCAGGCATGGTGACTCACCTTTAATCTCAATAAGTGAGCCTTTAATCCCAGGGAGTGATGGCAAAGAGAAAGATATATAAGGCGTGAAGACCAGAAACTAGAAGCATTTGGCTGGTTAAGATTTTAGGCTTCTAGCAGCAGTTCAGCTGAGATCCATTCGGATATGAGGACTCAGAGGTTTCCAGTCTGAGGAAACAGGATCAGCTGAGGAACTGGCAAGGTGAGGAAGCTGTGGCTTGTTCTCTCTGATCTTCCAGCATTCACCCCAATAACTGGCCTCAGGTTTGATTTTAATTAATAAGACCATTTAAGATTCTTGCTACAGGACTGAGCCAAACATTTCCCATGGCTCTCTACAACACCAAAATGTTTTCATGTTTTTCTTACCATTACAAGGATCATACTACTTATTAAACAAAAACTATAGACTTGACATTGAGCAGACATACTGGCATAAGCACATGGTGGGGCAGTTAGAATCTCTCCACAAATGTCTAAAGAGTTAAGAACAAGCAAGTCAACGGTTTCTTTACCCACGTTTGCCTCATTCTGGAGTATCCAAGCATTGCACTGTTAAAAATACTTAACATAGGATTTTCACATTAGTGCTAAATAGCTCTTCTCTTTTTTGATACCATGGGGTAGTGTCAATGCAGAGTATTTCTGCTGTTTGGAGGGACAGAGAGGTCTGGAGAACTGATCCAAGTAGCTATTGCCTCACATTTATCACACAGGCAAGCTGGTTTGCTATATTGTTTTTGAGACAAGGTCTTGCTATGTACTCAGGCTGGCTTCAAACTCTTGTGACCCTTCTGGTCTCGGCTTTCTTCTGTCCAGGCAGGTAGTATCTGAGGCATGTGCCACCATGTTTGGCTATGTTGTTTGTTTTGAAGGTGAAATCCAAATAGCTTTTTTTGCTAGGAAAGGACTAGGAGACACATGGTTCTGTACAGCATAAAGTTTTGTTTCTACAAGATATTCCTACAGTTCATTCTCCTTTCCTGACCATGCTTGAGAATGGACTTGAAACAGACAGCTGAAGCCTCTCAACCAGTTGTATGAGCCAGTTATGCCTCCCCCAACCCCATTCTATCTTCTGTAAAATTAGAATGTCTGGGATTACTGATAAGGTAAAAATTAGTAAATATAAAATGAGCTGGGTGGTGGTGGCCCATGCCTTTAATCATAGTACTTGGGAGGCAGAGGCAGATGGATCTCTGAGTTTTGAGACTAGCCTGGTCTACAGAGCGAGTTCTAGGACAGTCAGGGCTACACAGACAAACTTAAAAAAAAAAAAATAAAATAAAAAAAATAAAAAAAAAAAAAGAAAGAAAAAAATTCTAGCTATAAAGTGTTTAGAACAGACCTTGTATTTTTTTTTTTTTTAAGTTGATTACTTTTGAGGCCAAAAATCTGGTGGCTATCTGGGCTTCTTGTTTTGATTAGTAAGTAAATTTGGGTTATAAGATTTAATTTTGATGCCTCTGATGCTATAGTTGTAAAGGTGACAGACATTTAAAAATATCCAACTAACAGATGAGGACTTGATCATTAGTTTTTCTTTATAATGAAGAACAATTTCTGAAACCTGGATTTGAAATTACCCTGGCAGGTTGTAGTGACAGTAATGATTTAAAAACCCTGATGACAAAACAATGCAAATAATCTTCACAACACTGTGGACATGCACATTCACAGAATATTACAAGAAAGCAAACTGTATGTTGCATATATCTCATTGTTATTAAAAAAGTAATATAATTTTTTAGTAATGACAATTGCAAAATATTCTGAAATCTACTTTTGTTACAAGTCTACAAGTATTTGCCAGATTTGCAAAATAGAAAAGCTCATTGCAAAGTTTCACTTCTGGTTCATATTATTTTCTACGTAGAATGAAGTAGTTTTTACCAGAAAGGTATGTTTACCTGACCCATTTTAAGTGTTTCACAGGAAAAAATATTTTTTTTTAGAATGGGATAAAACTTTGAAGTCTTAATCATTCAGAATATAATTTGCAGTAATTCTTTTAAAAATATTTCTTCAGATAACTTGAAAATCTGTAAGCACATTATAAAAAATTGCCAAATATTGACATTTTTTGATACAAAATAATCAGCAGCCAAGCTGAAGTGAAAACAATCAGTATGTCTTAACACATGTTGATGTTTCTATCATAAAGGAGAGTAATGGTCAGAAAATATGCTTTAATAGACTCACTTTTGTAAAGACTACCCCAAACCATAAAACCAAAGTCCAAAACATATGTAAAGAAACAGGTTTGGCAGGATAAAGTACTCAAAATGTCAGAGTTGTTATGTCTGTATGAGTAACAGGTGATTTTCTACAACTCGTTTCTCGTGCAACTCAAAGCATCCATAAATATCAGAACATGGAAATTAATAGGAAGAAACGTGGCTGTGTGCTTCTTACCTAACTGCAGCGTAGCAGCCAGCAGAGCATGGATGTAGACTGCAAACTGGGCCCGGATCCATTCGTCACCTCCCTCCCAGCCTGTGCCATCCAGGAAGACATCATCCCTGTTCTCAGTCACATGCCTTACTAGGTAATCTGCGAACCTTAGGTCTGCAGTGGTTGGGTTAAGCAGCTTCCTAAGTTCTGGATCGTGGATCTGGATCAGTGCTTCTTCCACCTACAAGAGTACCCAGGTACAAGTCAGAGCTGAGACACTCACACAGATAATCACCCCACATCTTAAAAAGTAAACACTGGGGAACTGGAGTTAGAAATAAAGCAAAGGAGTAACAGTATTCTCAAAGATGTGTTTAAGAAAGAGGCAGGTTTTTATACTGAAGTTTCTATATACTTTCTCTATTTTTATAAAAAAAAAAGCCGTTTTTATTTTTAGAAAATATAGGTAGAAGAGGAAAGCTGACTCAGTGGTTAAGAGCACTTGCTGCTCTTGGAGAGGATCTGGGTTTGTTTCACAGCACCTACATGGTTGCTTATATCCATGGGTAATTCCAGTTCTGGGGGATCTGGCACCCTTTCCTGACCTCCACAGGCACCAGGTATGTACACGGCACACACGTGTATACATATACGCAGGCAAAAATAAGCACACATAATAAATAAGTCTTTAAAAAGAGAGTGACTTACAGAAAAGAAAACACATGTGCAAATATGACTTTGAACTATAAAAGTAATTCATGCTTTTTAAAATCTTTGGTAGTGTAAATACTTGGGGAAACACAGATACATACACAATGAAATTTGCCCTTATATTAACACAGAAAACAAGCTTAGTTATAAGTCCTTTAAATTTTTCCATTTTGAGGGCATGAATACTTCAGAATATTTTAAATACATTTTTTTTTTGTATTTAAAATGTATTTGTACATTTATGCACAAAAAAAACTAACTTGCAAGGCTTTGTTTTATTTGTTAGCTGCTGGTGATTAAAGATCTTAGGCATAGTTAGCAACCTCCAACGATTAGTTTTAGAGTGAAATAATAAAACTTCTATCAAACAACTTCTGAACGTTAAGGCACTCTGGTGCTCTCACCCGTGCTCTCCATTATACTGTACACTCCTCCCCGCTTCAAATTTGGGATAATGATGTAACTTTTTGAATCTTGGATATTTCATCTGTTATATTTCAACCATTTCCCCATAAAGTATGAACTCTCTCTAATTATAAAAACCTTAGTGAGTTAAAAATCCCAACATTTTAAAATTGTGAAATTAAATGAATAATTAAAAAAATTTAAATATAGCTGGGCAGTGGTGGTGGC